CTGTAGACCTCAGTTTCCTCATGTGTAAAATAAGGATCCTCTGAGATCACTTTCAGCTCTAGATCTAGGCTCTTAAGGCCTCATTTCCAATCTTATTTCATCCCATATCCCTTCACAAACTACGTTCTAGAAAAGCTGGACCACCAGCTGTTTCCCAAAGCACAAACTTCATCTCCTGCCTCCCTGTTTTTGTATTCTGTCTCCCATGCATGGAATGCCCTCTCTCCTCACTTTGATATTCAAAATCCTTGCTTTTCTTCTAGGGTCAGATCAAGTACCACCTCCTCCATGAAGTCTTCCCTGATTTCCCCAGCTGTGGTGGATCCTTCCTTGATATTCTTCCTTCTTTCCTTCCTTCCTTCCTTCCTTCCTTTCTCTCTTAAATGTTTCCATTTTAAGATTTTTTCTTTAAGATTTTTTAAGATTTCTGTACTTTTTTCGAATATATGATTTTATTTTCCCCAATTACATGCTTTTTTAATATAAATTTATTTATTTTTAGTTTTCAACATTCACTTCCACAAGATTTTGAGTTCCAAATTTCTCCCCCCTCCCCCCACCCCAAGATGTCATGCATTTTGAATACCCCTTCCCCTGGTCTGCCTTCTCTTCTATCTCTCCCCGTTCCTTTCTCTTATCCCTTTCCCCTTCTATTTTCCTGTAGGGCAGGATAGACTTCTGTACCCCATTTCCTGTATTTCTTATTTCCCAGTAGCATGTGAAAACATTTTTTTTAAACATATGTTTTTAAAACTTTAGGTTTCAAATTTTCTCTCTTCCTCCCTCCCCACCCACCCTCATTGAAAAGGCAAACAACTCAATATAGGTTGTACATGTGCAGTTATGCAAAACACATCCATAGTAGACATGTTGTGAAAAACTAACTCTATTTCCCTTAATCCTATCCTGCCCTCCCATTTATTCTATTCTTTCTTTTGACCCTGTCCCTCCTCAGAAGTATTTACTTCTGATTAACCCCTTTCCCAATCTGCCTTCCTCTCTATCATCCCCCTGCTCTCTTGTCCCCTTTCCCCCTATTTTCCTGTAGGGTAAGACAGATTTCCATACCCAATTGAATGTGTATGTTATTCCCTCCTTAAGCCAAATCCTATGAGAATAAGATTCACTCATTCCCTCTCACCTTCCCCTGTTTCCCCTTCCACTGTAAGAGACTTTTCTGTTTTTTTTTGTGAGATAATTTACCCCATTCTACCTCTCCCTTTCTTCTTCTCCGAGTATAATCCTCTCTCATCCCTTAATTTTATTCTCCAGATATGACCCCTTAATCTTCAACTCACCCTGTGCCCTCTATCTATCTATCTACATATACATACATATAATTTTTTTCCTCCAACTACCCTGATACTGACAAAGGCCTCATGAGGTATAAATATCATCTTTCCATGCAGGAATGTAAACAGTTCAATCTTAATAAGTCTCTTATGATTTCTCTTTCCTGTTTACCTCTTCATGTTCCACTTGAGTCCTGTATTTGAAAGTCAAATTTTCTATTCAGCTCTGGTCTTTTCATCAAGAATGCTTGAAAGTCCTCTATTTCACTGAAAAAAAACCATTTTTTCACCTGAAGGATTATACTCAGTTTTGCTGGGTAGGTGATTCTGGGTTGTAATCCTATCTCCTTTGCCCTGTGGAACATTATATTCCATGCGCTGTGGTCCTTTAATGTAGAAGCTGCTAAATCTTGTGTTATCCTGATTGTGTTTCCACAGTACTTGAACTGTTTCCTTCTGGCAGCTTGTAATATTTTCTCCTTGACCTGGGAACTCTGGAATTTGGCTACAATATTCCTAGGAGTTTTCCTTTTCCCCAATTACGTGTTAAAACAATTTTTTAAAACATTTAAAAAAAACTTTTGAGTTTCAAATTCCATCCTTCCTTCCCTCCCTCCCTCCCTCCCTGAGAGGGTAAGTAATTAGATATACATTATATACATGTGCAATCATGCAAAGCATTTCCATATTGGTCATTTTGTACAAGAAGACCTGAATAAAAGAGTGAATGAAAGAAAGTGAAAATAGCATGCTTCAGTCCGTATTCAGACAATATAAGTTCTTTCTTTGGAGGTGGATAGCATGCTTCATCACGAGTCCTTTGGGATTGTCTTGGATCATTGTGTTGCTGAGAATAGCTAAGTCATTCAGAGTTCTTCATTGTATAAAATTGCTGTTACTGTGTATAACTCCTATCTAGCTAGAGAAATGAGGCCTGGGAAACAGAATGGGATAAAGTACGACCAGGCAAGAGCCAATAGTGTTTCTTTTATGTCAGATTTCTTCTTATTCTCCTTCCTTTTCGAATTCTCATCCACCGGGTCTCTTAATGGGCCAGTCTCAACCTCTTCAAAAGGAAAGAGCATAAAATCAGAATTCCTCTCCTTCTCGTCCCATTTTGAGGCTTCTTTCATTGCAGTAGAATAGGGATGAGGATCCTTATAAAGAAACAAGAGACTGGGTATTTGTTTTGGCTGATTTTAATAAGACTACTTCTGAGACAAAAAGTCTCTTCTGTTGTTATGCTTCAAAACAGTATAGAATCTGTCATTTGGCTCATCTTTCTTGGGTGTTGCCGTGATAATATCTTAAACATAGAAATCATGCCCTTTTCATATCAGACTTTTGGCAAATACATAAGTCTCCGACCTGTAGAACAAGACAGGGCATAGCACCTCCTACAAGAGTAATGAATACAGTGGGTACAACTTGAGACTCTCCATATTTGAACTGCATAAGTGCACGTGTGGGGCCAACACACCTCCCTCCAATGTCTGGAAAATAGAAGCCATATTCCCTCTGATCTTGCAATAACCTTGTGGTCTTTGAGAGGATCCATTCTTTTGCTTCTGAATTTCTTCCCTTGGTTTTGTTGTGATTTCCTCCTCCATACAGCGGAGTTGATGGTCTGTTTGTGTGGTGGTGATAGGGACAGTCTCTCCTCTAAAGGGTGTGTTGCCACAGATGATGACTTCCATGGATGACTTGGAAGATGTGATAGCTTAGAGGCTGCTACAAATAGTGAGGATTTGGAGTATGTTTTCCCTTCCTTGGCAGTTGGATGGCAGTTTGTGGTTAGAGTAGGAAGGTTGGTAGGCTCCTTCTCCATGGGAGATGATTCCCTGGATGTTGATGGGGTCTGGGCTGAAGGTGGAGATACTGGCTTGAGAGGCACTGTTGTTTCTAGAGCTCTTGGCTTTCCTTCTCATCCATGAAAGTTGGTTGGCGGTTGACATCAATATTAGGCCCCATGTCCACAGGGGACACTTCTCTGGATGATAATTGTGGGGCCTGTGCTGGAAGATGAGCTAGTGGTTTGAAGGACTCTGTCGTTCTCTGGGACTTTCCCTGGTGGTTGTCTGGCAGTTGGCATTGATGGCAGGTTCCATCTCCTTAGAAGGTGTTTCCCTTGTTGGCGGCCATGGGGTCTTTCTGGAGACCAAAGCAGGTGGTCTGGGGTGTTCTGCTGTTTCTAGGATTCATTGGCTTACCTGCCTTTCCAAGGCAGCTGGTTGGTAATTGATGGTGGCGACTGTGGTAGTGTTGGCCCGTATACCCTTCCTCAATTTTCCTTCCACTATAGTTATTTGTGGACATGATGTCTCCAGGGAGACAACCTAGGTATTTTCTTTGACTTTTCACCCCCTCTTATACTCCCCTCCACCAAATCAAAAGCCAAGTCATGTTGTTTCAACCTTTCTTTATCATCATTATATACATTCCTTTCTCTTCTCTGACCCCACCACCACCCAGAGCCCTCATCACCTCACACCTGGACTATAGCCATAGCCTGCTGGTCAGCCTCCCTGCCTGAAGTCTCTTTGCACTCCAATCCATCATCATTAACCTCATCTTCATCCTCATCCTCTTCATTATCATCACCATCATCATCATCATCATAGATAGCATTTATATCACACTTTCAGATTTGCAAAGTGGTTTACAAACATTTCATTTGATTCTTTTTTATGGATGTGAGGAAATTTTCTTTATTTTGTTTTTTCCCACTTATTAGTATTTTATTTTTTCCAATTACATGTAAAGATAGTTTTCAATATTCACTTTTATAAGATTTTGAGTTCCAAATTTTTTTCTCCCTCCCCCCTCCCCAAGATGGCATGCAATCTGATAGAGGCTATACATGTATAATCATATTAAACGTATTTCCACATTAGCCATGTTGTGAAAAGAGAATCAGAACAAAAGGGGAAAACCATGAGAAAGAAAAAACAAAAAAAATGAGAACACAGAGGTTGTTGTTCGTCCTTCATTGTCAAAGAGGACCAAGGACATCAGGAGGGCAGTGGATGTCTCGACTTGTGAGTGAATTGGATTTAAGTGAGGCAGAGCCGGGCAAAGTCACCAGCCTCACTCTCTCCTCCAGGGTCATCTGGGCTAGCGCTAAGACATAGATCAGGATGCCTGTCAATGGCCCTGGATGCAGTGGGAGACAGCTAGTAAATGTCTGAAGTCAGATTTGAACCCAGTTCTTCCAGACTCAGGCCCAGTGTTCTTATCCACTGTGTCAGCCAGCTGCCTCTAAAACATGTCTCCTGTGGGCAGGGATTGTCCTTCTTTTTGCTCATATTTGTATCCCCAAGGTATACTACAGGGCCCGGCAAACAGTAAGTGCTTAATAAATGCTTGTTGCAGGACAGATGGCAGTGCAGTCTGACTTGTTCTGCTTGATACCAGAGCTGGGGGGTGAGAATTACAAAGGTAGATTTAGGCTCGTCCTCAGCAAAAACACACCAGGGGATGTGTGTTTTTGTGTTCGATTCCCTTTGCTCCAGCCTAGCCCTCCCCGTGGGAATCTGGTCTCTCCTCCAGAATCTACCTGCCTTCTTCCCTAGCTCCCTTCTCTTGGGGCTCTCTAGCCCTACAGCCACACTGGCCTTGGCCCCTAAGGTGCCCTGTTCCTCCTTCCCAGGCATTGAGCCCAATCAGATCTCCCAGAACTGCCCCAGGGACTCTGCAGCTGGGGGATGAGGAGGGGGAAGCCTGGGGGAGGACTATAAGAGCAGGAGCTCTGGTTTGAGGAGGGATCCACCATCACCCTCTGCTGACCCTGCGCCCAGGCCATGTCCCACCTGCTGTCCCTGTTCCTGCTCGTGCTCCTGCCGGCCCGGGGATGCTCCAGGGAGGAACCCCAGAAACTCTGTGCCCACAACTTCATCCGGGCCCTTGTCTGGGTCTGTGGCGGCCCCCGCTGGGCCTCCCCTGAGGGAAGGCAGAGCACCAGTGGTGACCGTAAGTCCTCGGGACAGGGGGGAGGGTGGGAAACAGGACCCTAGTTTCCCTTAGCTTGTGTGTCTGGGTGTGTGCATCGCTAAGTCCATTGACGAGTGTACCTCCATTCTGTTTCCATTTGTGTCTGTTTCTCCATATGTCAATCTGCAATTCTTTACTAGGTCACCTGAACCGGAGGACAGGAGGTGAGTACTGTGGGATAAGGGAAAGAGGGTCTGATTTGGACTCCCACAATCGGGGTTCACTTCCCAACATCTAGTTCAGGGCTTCTTAACCACTTTCTGTGCCCCAGGCTCGTCTGACAGTCTGTCAAAGCCTAGGGACCTCTTCTCAGAATTGTGGTTAAATGTCAATTGGGGGGGAATGTCAAGTTTCAGTTACAGGTTAGTGAAAATAAAATTGCAATTTTTTCCCCCATCCAAGTTCATTAACTCTCCTGGAATCCAGCCAGGTCTGTGAACCCCAAATTAAGAATGCCTGATCTAGTCCAACGCCTTCATTTTAATGAGGAGTAATCTGAGCCCGGCCCCCCCTCCCCCACCGTCAAAGTGAATCAATTTGCCCAATATTACACAGGTTTTGGCAGGTCTGACATTGAAACCCAGGTCTTTGGATCGCAAATCCAGTACTCTTTCCAGGAGTCCCAGTGTTGTGCCTTCAAATCCCAACACTGTCCCTTACAATTGCTCCTGTTAACGCCTCCCTCCCACCCCTGAGAAAATGGAAAAGGGTAGTGTGTGCATGTGTGTGTGTATATGTGTGTGTCTGTGTGTGTGTGTGTGTGTGTGTGTGTGTGTGTGTGTGTGTGTGTGCGCGCGCGCACGCGCTGGGAAGAAGGGAGGAAGCCTTGCCATCCCAGTGCTACTAACAGTGATACTGAGTGGGGAGAGGCAGGACACCAGCAGGAGGGGGAGGTAAGGAGGGGAAGTCTGACGGTAACTGCTGGTTTAGGATTTTGAAGGGCTGCTTATCTGATCTGAAGCTCAGAGAAGCTCAGTAAATGAGATAGTAAACATTTTATTAGCCACTTAGGAGTCAGGAAGATCAGAGTTCAAAGGTGACCTCAGACACTTAATAGCTGTGTGACCCAAGGCAAGTCACTTAGCCTCTTTCTGTCTCAGCTTCCGCATCTGTAAAAATGGGGGATAATAGCAGTACCTACCTCCCAGGTTGTTGTGAGGACCAAATGAGATATTTATAATGTGCTTTATAAACCTTAAAGGGTTAAGTAAATGCTGACTATTGTCATTGGTAATAATTATCTGTATTGGTAACAATCTTATTTGCAAATAATTGATACTAAAATTTTACTGATAATAATTGATAATATAGTGTTTAGAAGGACCTTAGAGGTCATCCAGGCCAACTTCTTCATTTTATGGAAGAAACTGAGGCCCCAAAAGGTGACTGGCTTGCTCAAGCTCACACAGGTAGTGTCAAGGGCAGGATTTGAATCCAGAACCAATGTTCTTTCCTACTGTATTACGCGGTACTGTGTTTCATGCTGAATTTCAGAGAGGTTAAGCATTTTGCCTATGGTCGCAGTAGGTATCCAAAGTGTTCACGTGCTTCTGTGTCCAGAGTGATGAGCCTGAGATGGGGTGGGGAAGGATGCTGAATGGGGGGACTGGAGGAATGTGCAGCTGACACATTTTGCAGACTTCCCTGGGGTTGATCTTGTCTAGTGCCCTCTTCCCACCCCTCCCTCAGGAGAAATACTTCAGTTGCTGCAAAAGAGACCCTTCCGTGGAATGGCACCAGACACCAACACAGAAGAGAACCTGGACGTGGGACTGGTGTGGAGGCCTGGCCTGCTTGCAGATGCAGGGAGACTGGACAGAGCCCATCGCTGGAGAAGAGCCCCCAGCCCAGCCAAACACTGTTGTAACAATGGCTGCACCAAACAAGATCTGCTAACTTTCTGCCCCCATTAGTTTCCCCAGAAAGGGAAGCTGAGGCAGAGGTTCACTGACTTCTCCAAGTACTCCCAAGAAGATCAAAGGAACAGAGTCTGGGGTCTAGCCTGGGCTGTGTGGTGCCTTAGCTCTGAACTCAGTCTCCTAGGGTTTGGGTTCAAGCCTGTGGCCTTCAGTGGTTCCCAGATCTCTCTGGAGCAATTGGAGGCCTGACTAGAAAGTCTGTAGTTTTCTGGGGGAGCGAAAGAGAACGAGGCAAGGCTATTACCTCTGCTGACCCTGAGCTCCAACATTGTGACTTCAAATGTCCTCACTGTATTTGTCCCCAGGGGGGCAGGGAAAGAAACCCTAAGAAACTGGCAAAGGGTAATGTTTGTCTGTGGTGCATTGGGGGATGGGCTGGAGACCTTGGTTTAAGTCACTCCCAATGGGGAGCAGTGGGTGGTTGTTACCTTTGGGAGTCCAAGGAGAAGAAGAATTTTCAAAGTGGTTTTCTTCTAATCACCCTGGGATGGAGATTGTGGAAAAGACATTTCCCCCAACTTGCAGATAAGGCTACTGGAAAGAAGTGAAAAAAATCCAGATCACAAATGGTAGTCAGTAGAGACCATCTGGTGTTTTACAGATAAGGAAAGTGTGTCTCAGGAAGAAATCATAAACTAGTCTCGGCAGTCTGCTGACTCCAAACTGGCTTCTTTTTCCTATGTTCAGTCGTCTTTGTGGACTTTGGGCCTCTGTGCACGGCTAAGGCCTCCATGACCCAGAAATCTATTGCCTACCAGCTCTTAGGTGGCACACCGGGTACAGCTGTAGGGCTAGTCAGGAAGACCCAAGTCCAAATCCATATGTGACCCTGAGCAAGTCATGTTTTAATGGCTCTGTCTGCCTCAGTTTCTTCAACTGTAAAGTGGGGATAACAAAGGAGATATTTGGAAAGTGCATAGTAGGTGCTTAATAAATGTCGGCTTCCTTCTCATCTGTCTGCCTTCTCCACATCGCTGCACTCACTCCCCTTCCAGCATCGACTCCCAGTTCAGCTTAGATCAACGAAGGCGCAGAAAGGTGGGAAGGGAAACCCAGAAACCCAGAGGGGCAGGGAAGGTGGGAGTCCAGCTGGTAATCCATCTCAGCGCATCTCCAACAGCTTCCCTCGGAGGCTTCTTGGAAACGGGGCCAAGGTCACACTCAGAGACTGTGGATGGGGAGAGGTGCAGGTGCAGGGATTCAATAATTTTTTATTGGGGAAGGCGTGGAGTAAACCAGGCCTTGACATTGGTCCACCCAAGTCCCAAGAAGTTAGTGGGATTCAGTGGAAAGTGCCCCGGGCTTGAAGTCCCGGGGCTTTATTGTTGTTTGAGTCATTTCAGTCGAGTTGGACTCCCTGCAACTCCACTTGGGTTTTTCCTGGCAAAAATATTGGCGTGGTTTGCCATTTCCTTCTCCAGATCATTTTACAGATAAGGAAACTGAAGTAAGTAGGTTAAGTGACTTGCCCAGGGTCACACAGCTAGTTAAGTGTCTGAGGCCAGATCTGAACTCCTGACCCCCGGGGCCAGTGCTCTGTCTACCGGGCCACTTAGGGCCCCTGCTCCTTCCATAAAGCCCTGTTTTATCATCTCTAAAATGAGGAGGTGGTATTAAATTAGAATGTAAATTATTTGACAAGAGCAGGGGCTGTCTTTGGACTCTTTCTGCAGCCCCCGGGCTCAGCACAATACCTGGTGATTGGCAGGAGCTTAATAAATGTCTTTTGCCAGATTAGATAGGCATCTCAGATTACTACTGCCTCTGACAGCTGGAAACACCAAATCCCTCTGGGAAGTTACTGACACCTCCCCATTCCCTCGGGCTCGGCTCCAATCGCAGATGCATCCTGCCAGGACAATAAGGAAGTCGGTGCTAGGGCTTTACAGTGAAGAGATCGCTGATTTAGAGCCGGCAGGGAGGGACCACATAGGCCATCTGCTCAGACCCCCCTCATTTCACAAATGAGAATTTCCAGGCTGGGAAAGTTAAGTAATTTGCCCAAGGTCACACTGTAATAAGCCTCAGCGGTAGGATTTTAACCCGGCTCCTCCAGCTCTGGAGGTGTGCTTTCCCCACCGTCCTATGCTGCCTCCTACTTATTGGGCCATGCTGTGTGGATACAGAGCTTCCCTTGACCTCAGGCGGGTAGCTTGCCATCAGAGACTGTGTGCTTCCTTGGAAATGAGGACTCTTGGTTAGAAAGGGGCTCCTCCTCCCTTCTCGGGGGCAGGTTAGGGTTCTGCCTAATGCCTCGAGGAAGAGCTAGGGCACATGATGGACCCAGAGGGAAACCCAGAGGATCACAAGGTTTAGACCTAAAACTCTGAGAAGGGAGAGACTGCCTCGTGGTGGGATAGCAGAAGAACACTGGATTAAGAGTGAGAGGACCTGGGTTTGCTCCAGGCCCTGCTAATTTACTACCTGTATGATGAGTTCAGCCTGATTATTTGCTAGTTAGGCACTACAGTGGGTAGAGAGCTGGATCTGGAGTCAGGAAGACCTGAGTTTAAAGCTGGCCTCTAGACCCTTACTAGCTGTGTGACCCTGGGCAAGTCACTCAGTGTGACTCAGTTTCCCCATCTGTAAAATGGGGATAATAGTAGCACCAACTACTACCATGAGATAACATTTTAAAGAATTTTAAAAATTTTAAGTGGGGTTTAAAGGAACCTGACATATCTGAGACACTTAAAAAATTTTGATCTTTCCTTCATCTGACCTCCCACAATCCACATTCTCCAGGAAGGGGCTGGATTCAATGACTTCTGAGCTTTTTTCCACCTTTAGACCTACGATCCCTGTGACCTTGGGTAGATGATGCTCTCAGCCTTCCCACAAAACGAAGGCACTGAAACAGATAACGTCAAAGTCCCTGTTTTTAGATGAGTCATCGTACAACTGGTCCGAAGTCAGACCAAACAGTCACTGACCAAAACAGGCCTCGCAGTCGGGTCTTCTCACTCCAAATTTGCTATTCCAGTCTACCCCACATTCAGGGCCAGCAGCTAATCCATCTTGGCTTGAACACTCCAGGCCTAAATCAGAAGGTCTCCTCCCAACCCGGCCCTTTCCTAACACTTTACCCCTCTCCACTTATTCTACAGTCTTTTTCTTGAAAAAAACGACCCGCCATTTCCTATCTCCATGCATTTGCTGTGGCTGTGCCCCATGCCTGGAATGCCCTCCCCTCCTCACTTCTTAGTTCCCCTGGCTTATTTTAAGACTTAGCTCAAAACCTACCTTATGCAAGAGGCCTTTCTTAGTGTCCCCTGCCCGCCCCCAGCTGCTAGTGCTTTCCCTTCCAATCAGTCTGTATCTCTTGTGTACCTAGTGATTTATGTCTTATCCCCTATTAGACTGTGAGCTCCTTGAGAGCAGGGATGAGTTTTTTCTTTTTTCTTTTCTTTTCTTTTTAAGGCAATTGGGGTTAAGTGACTTGCCCAGGGTCACACAGCTAGTAAGTGTCAAGTGTTTGGTCTGAGGTCAGATTTGAACTCAGGTCCTCCTGACTCCAGGGCCTGTGCTCTAACCACTGAGCCACCTAGCTGCCCCAAGAGTTTTTTCTTTCTTTGTATCCCCAACACTTAGCACCATGTGTAGCACTAAGTGCTTAATGAAGGTTAGGTGACTGACCTGAAAGAGGACTGGGGGGAGTGGCGCTTGCAAGTCAGGGTTGGGGGCAGGGAATTGCAGCATTCTAAGGATGGAGTCAAAATTCCCTAGGGATTTAGGTCAGGGAAGAGAGAAGAAAGGTACCTCATATCTATCTCCCCTGCGGACCCCTCAGCAGACCCCACAGGAAAACACCCCCACCCCAAATTATGGGATTATGGTGGAAGATGATATAGGCCCTGCAGAGCTTGCCCTGTGTGCTCCCACTCCTTCCCCAGCCCCTCAGCCTTCAGAGGTACTGCAGGGGACTGGCCACAGAGACCACTCCTGATCCCACCCCTAGAGAAAGTCAGGCAGAAGCTACATGCAGCCTTTTGCAGAGAGTGAGGGGACACAGTGGTTAGAGAGCTGGACCTAGAGTCAGGAAGACCTGAGTTCAAATCTGGCCTCAGATACTCACTAGCTGTGTGATCCTGCCTCAGTTTCCTCAACTGTAAAATGGGGATAATAATAGCATTCACTTCCCAGGGTTGTTGTGAGGATCAAATGATATAATATTTGTAACTGGCTACTAGGTACTATGATGCCTGGCACAGAGCAGATAAATGTCCCTCCTTCCTTCCTCCCTTCCTTCCTTCATTTTAGGGGGCAGAGTATGGAGAAAACCCACTTCCCTTCTTCAAGCTAATAATCTTAGCCTCTGATGCTCTCCCTCAAACTGTGACTCTGTGCCCTGGTCCTAGCTGTCATCTGCTCTCATCCTCACCAGGCAGGGCAGGGACTCTTTTTCCCATTTTGCCAATTGAGGAAACTGAGGTGGGGTATAGGGGACTCAGCCAAGGTCATTCTAGTTGGGGGTACCACAGAGACTCGATGTTCCCTCTCTCCCCCAGTGAAAACCCACCTTTCTATAGCTTATAAAACATGTTCTTTGTAACAACCCTGTGAGGTAGGTAGTGTTGGGTGCCCTCCCCAGTTTTACAAAGGAAAAAGCTGAAGTTCTGATTAGGGGAAGTGACCTGGCTAAGGTCACACGGCTGGCTTTGAAGTTTCTTATCCTGGCTTCTGCTCTTCTGAGTGTCACGTGCTGGGTCAGTCTCTTCAGGGGCCTCTCACCCAGTCTGACCATCTGGTCCTCTGGAACAACCCTCAGTTACTTGGGGTGTATAATATTGACTTGCTACATTCCAGATCTGGATTCTTGATGGCGTCCCACATTAGTAGCATCTCATAGGGCAAGAAACGATGGACCAGCAGCAGGTCTTGGTAGAAGCATGGGTTAAAGGACCCTATGCGTGGTGACGGTGATTGGATACCTGTCACCCTCACTCCCATGTGCCTGGCTGGAGCCAGCCCTTCACGCTCCAGGCACATGCCCAGATAAACATCGTCGATCGGGAAGAGAGGTATCACATGGGAGGCGTGCCGGATGGCTCCTGTCGTGAATTTAGACATCAGGATCCCACCGCCTCCACAATAGGGGGGGTACTTATTTTCCTTCATCACCAGCTCTGGCACAAAGTACTTGCTCTGTGGCACACGGATGGGTCCCACGTTGCTGATGACATAGCCTACAAACAGGTGCTTGTCTGCTCTGTTACCCTGCAGATACACCACCATGTTGTCTGTGTGGGCGAAAATATCATCGTCGCCGTTGAAGATGAAGGAAACATCAGGGCACTGCACAGCCTGCCACTCCAGAAACAGTACCTGCCATAGGAAAGAGAGCGAGAGGTAGAATGGGGAGGCCTCCTGTGCCTGGCACTCACCTGCTCACAGTCTCTGAGGAGGCATCTTCCCATTCCTAACCTCACCGGTTCCTAATAGCAGTCCTCTGAGTGAGGGGAAGGAATTCCTTTCCATTTTACCAGCAGGGAAACTGGGGTCTGGAGAGGACTAACAGAAGACCGTCTGGGAATCTGAGGGTTTCGAAGCTCAGAGGGACTTTTGAGATCATCTAGCCTAGAATTTTCCAAACTCATTTGGTATTACCCTGATGGAACCACCCATGCTAAGCTAGAGAGCGAGAAGCTGGGAGCATGATACCTCTAATAAGGTGGTTGACGAATGCTGGAGAAATGCAGAAATTCAACTGAGCTTGATACTGAAAACTATAATAAGTATTTTTGAATCATTCCCCCTCTGGGTATTTCATTTTCTCATCAATAGTATAGTAGGATTGGGGGCAGCTAGGTGGCGCAGTGGATAGAGCACTAGGCCTGCAGTCAGGAAAACCTGAGTTCAAATCTGGCCTCAGACACTTACTATCTGTGTGACCTTGGGCAAGTCACCTAACCCCTATTGCCTCCAAAAAAAAATTTTTTTGTATAATTGACATTGGATCTGGAAATAGAAAACCTGGGCTCAGATCCCTCCCCAGATGCTGACCAGCTAGGGTAAGTCACTTAACTTCTCAGGGCCTCAGTTTTCTAGCCTATAAAAGGGGAATAAAAATCCTCACCCAGGTTTAAAGTATTATAGAATTATGAGTTTTTATGTTAAATAGTCTCTAATTGAACACAGAATGTCAGAGATGGATGGACAGTAGATCAAAAAATATTTTTCAAGCCCCTATTACTTGCCAGGTGCTATGGTTGGCACTGGAGACAAAAGTCAAAAGTGAGAGTCCCTGGGGCAGCTGGGTGGTGCAGTGGATAGAGCACTGGCCCTGAAGTCAGGAGGACCTGAGTTCAAATCTGGCCTCAGACACATAACACTTACTGGCTGTGTGACCCTGGGCAAGTCACTTAACCCCAATTGCCTAAAAACAAACAAACAAAAATAAAAGTGAGAGTCCCTACCCTCAAGGACCTTACATTCCACTGGGGAGGGGGATAAGGATGTTCACAGAGAAGTAAATATAGGATAAATGCAAAATAAATACAAAGTGATGGGGGGTGGGGATAAGGGAGCTCTTGAAGAAGGTGGCACTTGAAATGGAATTGTGATGTCCTGAGGTCCCTCCCAACTGATGTCCTGCACCCCCACCTCTGACATCTTACATGCTAAGGTTCCTCAAGCTCTTACACCCTGGGCTCAGGGGTCCCTATTGACTCTGATATCCTATGACTTCATGATTCTGGGAATTTGCTGTTCGACGTTTTAGAAAGGTCCCAAGACTAACCCAGCCCCTAGTCACTGGGGTTCGGTGACAGCTAATGTGAGAAGCACTGCCCCAATCCCACACTCTCATTTCAGAGGGGATATCAAAGACCAGAGGGACCGTGACTTGCCCAAGGTCACCCGGCAAGTTGGAGACAAGTGGATTCAAGACTGCAGCCCGGGGTTCTCCCCTGCCTTCACCACACTGCCAAGAAGAAGAGATTGCTATTATCCATAGAGAAGACCCATGCTAACTGGGGATGTCAGGGAGGAGTTGGAGAGAGAGACTGCAGGCCATGGGTTGGTCCAGGTTTCAGGGCTGCTTCCAACTAAAAGTAGAGCAAATCCAGGTGGTGGAGTCTGAGACTGGAGAGAAGCGAGGTACCTGTCATCTCCCACCTCTGGGTCTGCCACTCACCTGCTTCAGGGTCAGATTGAAGAAAGTGTCATGGAAATCCCACTGCAGAATATCACCGTGGGCCTGGGCCTCCATGGCCAGGAGCCAGTTTACTTTTTGAGCTTCCAGGAAACGAGGCTCAGTGCCTACCAAGAAAAGCCGGCGGATGGTGGCCCCGTTGACCTCTCGCTCCTGCCCCCATGTCCGACGAATGAGATCCCGCCTCTCGTAGTTCTTAGGTGAGGACTTGATGGCCAGCAAGAGGAAGACAGGGCCCACGCCCCCAGGGAACCCTGTACACTTATTTGCAGGGGCACTCTGAAGGATCGGGAAGTGTCGGCAATGTTTGTAAAGGAGGAAGTCCTGGATGTGCCTGGGCTGGGCTGAGAAGCCAGACACGTTGGCCACAGAGGCATTGGCAAAGCAGGGGACCAGAAGACGTTGAGGGAGGGCTGAGGTCTGGGGCTCTGGGACCCTTTGCTGTTGCTGGGGCTCCAGAACTATTTGGTGTTTGGGCTCAGACATCCCCAAGTCTTGCCAACGAGTCTTATAGGAGAGCTCCGAGAAATGGTCTTGGATGAGGAAAATTAGGACCCCAGCAGCTAAGGCCAGCAAGATCAATGCCTGGGTGCGTCTTTTCTTCAGCCGTAGCATTATTTCCTGGGATACAAGAGAGGAGGGCAGGCCCAGTAAGAGAAAACCTTAGGCTTGGGGGAAGAATGTGTGCCCTGAACTTATGTGTGGTCTTGGGCAAGTCACTTCTTTCTGGGCCTCAGTTTCCGCATCTGTAAAATGAGGAGGCTGGATAAATGATCTGTTAATTTCAAATCCAACATCCTGCATCCCAGTTCTGACATCCTGTGTTCTAAGGGCCCTCCCAGCTCTGACATCCTGTGTTCTAAGGGCCTTCCCAACTCTGACATTCTGCACTCTAAGGGTCCTCCCAGCTCTGAGATTCTAAAGGCACTCCTGAACCTGGCGTTCTGTGCCCTGAGGTGCTTCCCAGATCTCATATTCTATGGTCTAAGGTCTAAGGGTCCTCTCAAGCTCTATTAACTTGAAATTAGGGAGAAATTAATGTAAAAAGGTAGCAATAAAAATTTATTTAAAATAAAGCTAGAACTTGAAATTAGCTTCCCCATAACTTTCCCCCATTGCCTCTAGTTCTGTTCCTCTTGGGTCAAAAAGCACAAGTCAGCTGCCTCTGTCCTTTGATGGTCCTTTAGATATGTGGGATTTTTTTTTCCATTCATTTCATTTTCCAATCCAAATTCTGCCCCCCGCCACACATACCTTTCATACTCATTGAGAAGGCAAGAAAAACAAAACCCATCACAAAAATTTAGTCATGTAAGACAAATTCCCACATTAACCATTTCTAAAACGAAAGAAAGAGAAAGGAGAGGCGAGAGAGAGAGAAAGAAGGAAGAAAGGAAGAGAGAAAGAAAGAAAGGAGAGGGAGAAAGGGAGAAAGAGAGGGAGGAAAGAAAGAAAAAAGATTTCAGTCTGCTCTCCTGGGTCCATGTCAGCTCTCTATTTGGAGATGGGCTGCAGGCTTCAGCCTGAGTCCTTTGGAATCGTAGTGGGTCATTGTGTTGATTAGAGTTCCTAAGTCTTTCAAAGTTGATTATCTTCCTCTATAATTTTATAAATAATAATAATTGTTAATACTAATAATGCTATTACTTATGACATTGCTGTTATTCTTTAAACTGTTCTTCCCATTCCCTTCAGATATCTGAAAACACCTGGGTTCAGAGTCAGATGATCTCAGATGGAAGCTCAGTCACTTACTGTGTGACCCACCATGGGTAAGTCTCTACCTCTGTGGGCCTCAGCTTCTTCATCCATAAGAGTAAGAGTGCTGTGATCCTATGCACCGCCCCCAGCCCTCTCTTCTCCCAGGGTAAACATTCTCAGTTCCTTCCATGGAGCCTATTGCCACAAACCTGGTCTTCAGCCTTCTCATCATCTTGGCTGTCCTCTGACCCTTCTCACCTCTGTTGATGTCCCTCTGGAAATACAGCCCCTAAATCAGACGCTATTTTTCAGGTGTTTCTGCCTAGGGCAGAAACCAGCAGGATAGCTTTCTTTCCTCATTCCGGAAGCTCTATTTCTCCTAACTCAGCCTGAAGTTAACATTATCTTTATGGGAACAGGAGTGAGGTCCACCTATCAGCTCATGTAACATTGTGGCCAATACCCCACATGCTCTTTTATTATACAAATTTCTGGTTTCCTTAGGTAGCCCCCAGCTTGTACTTGTGTGCCTGGATTTCAGAACACAAGTACTCACTCTCAAAGGAAAAGCCGGTTCCCCCAGAGTCTCCTGGGGACACTTGTGTCCCATGCCACTGGAAGACCATGAGGGGAGGTTCAGGGAAGATCGCCATAGGGTGGATAATAAAAACACACCCTCTGGGGAGGAAGCAAGCACCCCCCTCCAATCAGATGTCAGCCCTATGCAGCAAAGGTCCATTCCTCCCCTGCTGGTTATAGCTCTGGTCACCCAGAACCCCCCCAAGGATTCCACTTCCCTGGCCCCCATGCACTTCCAATCTTTTGCACAACATTATCTCATTGCATTATAACACTGCTCACTGCTTCATGTACCTTCTTGGGGACACAAAGCAGATCTTTTCCCTATTCCATCTGCCCTACTTCTACCACACCCATCCAGTGCACAAAGAATGCTTAACTTGATTAAATGGTTCCAAGCCATTTCAAGTACGTGAGAACTCACTCCACCCACTGCATGAGGAGGGAAACCTTTCTATGGTCTTAAAGATTTGCAGGTATGCTGCCTGTGGTTCAGTCATTTTCACTGGGGTCACACAATGGGTGACCCAGTTTGGAGTCTTCTTGGTAAAGATACTAGAGTGGTTTATCATTTCCTTCTCCAGCTGATTTGACAGATGAATGTGGATCTTCCTAACTCCAGGCCCTGAACTCTATCGACCGGTACCACCTAGATGTCCAAGTTGATTTGATCAGCTAGTCAGTGCCAGAGGCAGGATCTGAATCTAGGTTTTGACTCCAAGTTGGACAGCTATCTCCATTCTGTTATGCTGCCTGTCTAGTATAGAAGAGAATGCCAGAGCCAGTAGAGCTCTGAGAGCTCACTAAACCCAATCTCAACCCCGAGGCATACCATGCAGCGTAGGTATCATGACTAAATGAACTTTGAGGTGCCTACCAGCTCTGATAGGGAAGGGCTGAAGTCCACCTTTGTTATTGTTCAGTTGTTTCAGCCCTGTCAACACTCGCATGACCCCATTTGGGGTTTTCTTCATAAAGATGCTGGAGTGATTTGCCATGTCCTACTCCAGCTCATTTTTTTTCTTCACAGATGAGGAAACTGAGGCAAACAGGGTTGAATGACTTGCCCAGGTCATACCACTAGCAAGTGCCTGAGGCTAGATTTGAACTCGGGTCTTCAGGACCTCAGGAACTTGGGTCTTCTGGACTTCTGGCCTGGTGCTCAATCCACTGCCCACCTAGCTGCCCTTGCTCAAGTGGACAGCAAGCTTTTACTTTTCTTTGATGTTTTCTACAACAAAGTTAAAGACCAATTCAATAAGCATTGATGATGCTCCTCCTCCTGCAGGCTCAGCTAAACCCTGGGACTACAAAGAGAGACAAAAGACAGTCCCTGCCCTCAAGAAGCACCTAGTCTAATGGAGGAAATAACTACAAACAAGCCAGAGACCTGATAAATTGGAGATAATCAGCCTTGGCTGGTGCGAAAGAATAAAAGTAGTAAAAGAAGCTAGATTACCTTCATTCCAGGACAATGACCTGTTGCCTCAAAAAACCAAACCCCTAATAGACGGAAGGAAGGAAGAATCTAAAAGGTACAAAAATGATCTGAAGGAAGTGACTGTAGAGAGGGGGAGTGGGAGAAGTTGTCCTCCAAGGCATAAAACATACTGACAAGTCTTGTTAGATGAGATTATCCAGTAAAGGTCAGAGGAAGAGTCAGGTAGGCTGGTGGCACCCTTTGATGAGTGACAGCACAAAAGAACAATCTGTCAACCCCCTGACAATAGCAGAGAGCTCTGTTTTCTTCCTGGAATGGGCACCCAAGCTGTGACAGAACCTCCCAAGGCTTGTGAAAATAACTACCACAAAAGGGAGTCCTCTGGACATAATTCCCCAGGATTAAAATCTTCCAGGGCAGGGGTGGGGAACCTCAAGCCTTGAGACCACATGTGGCCTTCTAGATCCTTAAATGCGGGCCTTTTGATGAGTCCGGTCAAAAGGCCCGCACATAAGGATCTAGAAGGCCACATGGGCGTCAACCCAAGAGAAGTAGGACACTGTCAGAATGGAAAACAGAAGACTCAAAAGGGGAAAAATTCCAGTAAAGAGGAAGAGCAGGAATTAGCTGGAGAGATTAATGTGGATGCAGGAGAAGCTCACTACCTGACTTTGATTTTTTTTTTTTTGGCTAGGCAATGGGGTTAAGTGACTTGCCCAGGGTCACATAGCTAGTTAAGTGTCAAGTGTCTGAAGCGGGTTTGAACTCAGGTCCTCCTGACTCCAGGGCTAGTGTTTTCTCCACTGTGCCACCTAGTTGCCCCTTGACTTGATTTTTAAAAGATATATAGAACATGGAAACAAGGTCAGCTTCTGCTTCCTCTCCTCTCACCCCTCCATCCTTTACAAACCAACTGTTGACTCATCTTCCTGAGTTCAAATCTGCCCTCAGACACTTAATAGCTGTGTGACCCTGGGCAAGTCACTTAACCCTGTTTGCCTCAGTTTCCTCAACTGTCAAATGAGCTGGAGAAGGAATGGCAAACCCCTCCATTACCTCTGCTAAGAAAACCCCAAATGGGGTTTGATGTTGTTGACCCCAAATATACCTAGACTGCTTCACAAACTTTTGATCACTATATAAATGCTAGCTATTACTATTATTGTTATTATGGTCTTATATACTCTTTCTAGGTTTTCATGACAATGCTCTGTTTTGGTTATCTACATATCCAAAGATTCTTTGCTGGAATACTATCCAAATCTTACTTCTCAATTGTGGGTGTGGTCTAAAACTGGTCTCCATTTTGCTGTAGGCTTTCTACTCTTTCCCTAGGTGATCTCCCTAGCACCAGTTTAATTATCTCTATGCAGATGGCTCCCAGATATTCCTATCCAGCCCCAGTCTCTCTTTTGCACTCCAATTCCCCACTTCATCTTGTTAAATAATTCCAACCAACTGTCCATAGACGACTTTACTCGAAGTATCCAAACATGGACTCATTATCTTTCTCCCTGTGGTAGGAGTGGCATCTTCTGTAGGTAGGCTGGACTGGTCCTGTAAGAGGGTACGGAGGTCATTTGGCTTCCTTGCCACTGGCCACATTGGAGTTGATGTGGAAGGTTTTACCAGCGTTCCTTCCAGACTGAGTGTGGTTAGTTGCCATGGAGAATGCAAAGACAGAAGGGAATAGCCCTCTTTATTTGAATTAATATCTTTTTAACCTTGGGAATTTTATCCTTTTACCTGTCACCAGTAAAGTTGTTTTTATTGCATTTTATGGTCCAGATGTGCTTTGTTATATTTTAAAACTAGTCCAGAATATTTGGCACAGTTGACAGGGCTGTTTGCAATGGCTTCATGTTAAATTCATATTTTTTTAATGGGATGGGGGGGGTGGAAAGGAGGAAGATGTGGAACAAATAGTCTCAGATAATTTGCTGACCAGATACAGCAGCGTGGCATCCTGTGACCACAGTGCTTTCTGAGGCATGTTGGGAACCTTCTCAGTGGGATAACGATAAGCTCCCATTCTTCTTGAAGGGTGTTTAAAGAATTTGAGAGGGAAAATGAAAACAGAAAAGTCAAGTATTCCATGATAGCTTTCAAAAAGCTGGATCACCAACCAAAGGAAAATGAAAATAAATTGTACTTCTATATCACGCAATTAGCGTCCAAGGCAAAACACCTTGCAATCTTTGCAAACTGTGCCTTGAAGGTGGGGATGGGTAGGGGTGGGGCTATTGGTACAGCTAATAGATCTGGGAATAATACCACTGGAAAGAGCAATGATAATTGGGATTACTGGACTAGAGGTGGAAGTATGAGCTCTGACCCAGAAGTTTTTCTGGAGGAGGTGTTAGAAAATCTGCAAGGTTAGGGCTAGGGGGAAAAAGAATAGGGTTGGAAGTGATCGATTTAGAGGTGTGAGCTAGGGATCACCTTTGGTCCCTTTTCAGGTGGAAAAATGATGAAATCTGCACACGGGGTCTCACAAAGATGAATTCTCTGAATAGCCAGTTCCCTGATGGAGGATTAGCAAGTTAGAAGGTGATATTTTTAAAAGAGAGGGATTTGGTGAATGCGCGCGCGTGCGCACACACGCACACACACACACACACACACACACACACACACACACACACACACACACTCCTACTTCAAGTACAATGCAATCCTGTCTTTCAGGGAGTTCCATCTAAATTATGTGGCCCATTCCCAATTGACCATGATCAGTTAGTGAAGTTTAAGCCAGAGAAGGCATAATGCCTACCACCATGTTAGTCCTCAGCTGAGGCTAGGGATACTCTTTCCCATTAGGAGATTTAGGTATACCTTTTGAATCTGATAATCATTTAAAATCAGTTGAGCCCCAATAAGGGCCAAAAACCTGAATTAATCTTTTCTGAGCGAACTAAAAACACCTCTTCCTGTGTCAACAACTACCGGACCAGATGGAACTGACCAGCATTCTTCCTGTTATCACTAAGGACAGGATACCTGGGACCAGACACTCTGGAACAGTGGGACTTTTCTTATTTTGGTATCCTGTGGACATAAGTTATGTAGGGGAAACACAGATATCCTGGATCTATAATTTCAAATGACACTTTGACATTCTCCTATTTTATTGTATTTACAATCTATTCAACTAAGAAACTTCCTTTCCCATGCTATATGTTAAAAAAAACACATGGAGGTTGTATTCTTTTTTTTAGTAACACACACATCCTGAGTCAGGGTTTAAATGTCCTCCTAAAATTTCTTGAGTCAATCAGAGTTAAAACTCTGATTCCATGTACATGCACTGCTAACTTGAAGGAATCAAACAATATGAATTCACTTATCACCTAGCTTGTTGTCTCTTTAACCAACTTTCAGGTCGACAAATCATGGGGTCGACAAGATGACTGATGCTAGTAACATCCTATCTGGATATCTGGGACAGATACAGTAAGGATTCTTCTACTCCAACAAAATATAGGAAAAGCTTCTGCTTTCCCATCTGGTCATTTCTCCACTCTCCTTAGTCATTCACCCTCACCCAAGTCTTTGCATCTAGATTTGAGAATCTATCAGAATGAGTCTCCCTAGGGTAAGGACCAAGATTTCCTCCAAGGCTCAGTTTATTCTGAAGTGAAGGACCATAGGGGACCATGTCTGAGTGGCTTGGGAAGGTGAAATGGGGAAATCACTAAATATAAAAGGGGCTGTTAGATCTCAGCAGCTGTGTTACTATTATACAAGGGGACTTTCAACATGTCCATAAGTTTATCCCAGTTTCCACTGGGGTTTGAGGGTCAAGGCCACAGAGGGAAAGAACATGCTTGTTCACATGGAGTTGGGTGGAAGACCTGTTGTTTGTGTCTCAGTTGGGATGGGTATGGCTAATCGGGGCAAGTATATTGTGAATATGGGTATTAAGACTTGTGCCTACATGGTCTACACCCTTCCCCAAACCATTTTTTTTAAATTTTTTGTTTTTTGGGGGTTTCTTTTTTGGCTAGCTAATGGGGTTTAGTGACTTGCCCAGGGTCACACAGGTAGTAAGTGTTATATGTCTGAGGCCAGATTTGAACTCAGGTCCTCTTGACTCCAGGGCTGGTGCTCTATCCACTGTGCCACCTAGCTGTCCCTCCCCCAAACCATTTTGAACCCCAACACTTGAGAAAAGCCTAAAACCTGGATTTGTGAGACATTTCGGCCCACTCTGGACTTAATCTACCATAATGCTTTGCATCCTCTGCTCTCTGAGCGATCTAAAAATGCTCCTTCTTGCATCAGCAACTACAGAACCAGATGAAGCTGACCAATATTCTTCTGTTTATGGCCACCAAGGACAGGATGCCTGGGAACAGACACTGTCTTGAACAGTGGTACTTTTCTTATCTTAGTGTTTTATGTATATATACTATGTTATGTCATGTTAATGGTAAAAGAAACACGGATATCCTGGATCTATAATTTCAATGGACACTTCGACATTCTCCCATCTTATTGTCTTTACAACCTATTCAACTTAAGAAATTCCTTTCTCATATCATGGTTAAACATTTGTAGAACATAATTTTGGCTAACATAGACATCCTGAACCAGGAAGGGAGGGAGGGGTGAGAGGGAGTTGCTCCAAATATATAAAAATCCTCTTTGTCTGTCCATCTGTGGGTTCGTTTACATGATGAGCTCCCATGCGTATTTCTGTATGCATGTTCTGCAAGCTTTGAGAGAAATAAACACTCATATTCATACTAATTTTGTTTGTCTTTCTAAGAAGGAAATCAGTAATGGTTGACAATGAGCATTTACAATAGTTTCTATGTCTGTTCTTACAGGTTGGGCTAAATGATGCCCGACTGTTGCCTAAACCAGACTGCATAGTTAAATATTAAATAATATTAAGCGAGGTGTGTATAAGTATGAAAGATAATTCCTCACCAGTAATGAAAATGAAGAAGGTTAGAGTACTCTGCTATCTACCTTCTCCATATAATAACCTCGTGTGGCCAATGAAGAAGGTAGACTGGAGATTGTTGAGAGTTAAATAAAGTTCTTTTGCCAAGTGTTTCAGCTCTTGTTGACCTTGTCAGGTTGATGGAGCAATAAGTCCTGGGCTTGGGTCAGTAGTAAAGGGTTAGTGATTTTTCCATTGCCTTTTCCATCCTCATGGCCAAATAAGAAAAATTTGCTTTTACCTGGTAATGAGCTCAGTATCCCATCACTACTCTTTCTTAAGGTTCTTTGAATTCACCTTCATACTTCCAGTTTGATTGGCAGAGACCTAAAGGAAGGCACCCTCTCTGAGGGTACTGGTGCCCACTTTTATACTGAAGATGTAATGTTAAAAAAAAAAACCAAATAAATAAAGACGTAATGTTCACTGGGCTAGCTGAGGCCACAGAGGCTGTCAAACACATTGCGGCTCTTACAAGGGACAAAGGTGGGAGATCAACCCAAAGAAAAATTCAGGGGGATAAACTAAATAAGGAGAATTCAGATGATTATAGATATAAACCCCTAAAAGCTTGTTAACACTCACAAACTTAGAAGGAAACTAAGAGCTTTATTGGACTCTTTGGGTGGTTTCTTGGATCCAATCTTCAGGAAGATTTATGTGACCAGGATGGACCTTAGGACATAATCCCAGCTAACCCTCTCTGGTCCTCTCTTATTCCACTCTCTGGGGAGTTTCCCGGGCTTTGGTTCCATACAATCTGGAGAAGCAATCCAGGCCCTTCTTCCTTCCCCTTGGGATGGTCTGAACTTCTTCTTAACAAAAGTCTGAGGTGGATGAAGGCATGGAATAATTAGGAAGTCCTTTGCTTTTTAATGCTATGGGGAAGGTAAAACTATATATCTATATCTATATATCTATATCTATATCTATCTCTATATATTTTATACCATGACAAATTAGAATCCACTTGAAAAAAAAGGGAATCCTTTAGCTGACTAGGTAATAATCTTGAGTTCCTAGATAGAGAGGTGAGAGGGAGTTTGTATCCAACACCCACAGAGAAGGGGTACCCTAGCAGCAAAGCCCTCTAAAAGGCCACACTAGCTAATAATAGCTAGTATTTATATAATGCTTTAAGATTTTCAAATGGCTTTACAAATGTTAATTCATTTGATCCTTAAAACAACCCTGTGAGGTTAAGTACTATTATTATCCCCATTTTACGAAGGAGGAAACAACACAGAAGAGTAAAATGATTTACCCAGGGTCACAGCTAGGAAGCATCTGTGGCAAGATTTAAATTCAGGTCTTCTTGACTTCTATCCACTGTATCACCTACCTGTTTGGTGGTGTCATCTGATCCCTGCTCGGCCTCCTAGGGAGGTGGAGCTTTTGTCTGGTGGGCCAGGGAGCAATGAGTAGGTGGCCGTCTCTGGGATAGGTTCTGTTCAAGAGATTAATGACCTCCTAGGTATATACTTTCATACAGATGAGCCAGATCTGTAATGGGGATGAGTGAAAGTTATGAATTATTTTATTTCTTTTTGAAATTTATTCCCTAGCCTAGGAAAAGTTTTGGTTATAAGCATATGGAAAGTAGAAACATTTCAAAAGAGACTGAGTTTCTAATACATTACTGCAAAGTGCATGGTGTCCGCCTACAGTACATCTAGCAAGCAAAAGAATAGACAGAGGAGGAAGAAGAAGAGGAATATAGTGAAAATTAAATTATCCCTTCTGCATCACGGGGGTTAAGGGTGTGACTGCAATCTGGAAAATATGCATAAAAATTTTTGGCCTTCCCTTCGTATGAGAGAAGAAGTCTGAATTTTTTTTCCTTTTTTTTTTAATGGGATATTTACAGTACCTTATTTTAAAATTTGGGTTAAGTATTTGGTCATAGGCTATATCATATAATACTATACATATATTTTATGCATATCTGAGTTGCTAAACTTGTTCCGTGTCATCTGCTGGCCTTCTCATGTCATCTATAGCTTCCATAAGTTCCCAAAAAATTCCATTTAATTTCTTATGCCGACCCATGATATAGAAAAATTGTGATGGGGAGAATCACGATATGGAAAATCATGATGTGGAAGGGATGACAGTACATCAGTACTGTACAGAAGCTGACATAATAATAACAGCTAATGATGTTTTATTTAGTGCTTTCGGCTTTGCAAAGTACCTTACATATATTATCTGATTTCATCCTTTTAAAAACCCGAGAAGGTAGTTGCTATGATTATCTCCACTTTACAGATGAAGAAACTGACGCTGAGAGGTAAGTGACTTACTTGCCCAGGGCACGTGTGGAATCAGGGAACAACAGGGGTTCTTAATTTGGGGCGGGGGCCCTGAAACCCTTTGGCAGTCTAATGAAGCCTATAAACCCCTTCTCAGAATCATTCATAAAATACATAGGATTACGAAGGAAACCAATTATATTGAAACAGTTAGCAAAATAATAACGATAAAACCAAAACCAAGTTCATGGACCCCAGATTAAGAACTAAAGCTGGGGCAGCTGGGTGGTTCAGTGGATAGTGCTGGGTCTGAAGTCAGGAAGACGCGTCTTCCCAAATTCAAGTCTAGCCTCAGACACGTAACCCTGTTTGCCTCAGTTTCCTCATATGTCAAATGAGTATGGCAAACCACTCCAGCATCTCTGCCAGAAAACCCTGCATTTTGGGGGGGGGAGTCACAAAGCATTGGACACAACTGAAAAACTCAACAACAGGAGAAGATATTATCTCAACAACAAAAACTTGGAAATCTAAAAAAAATCTATATATAGGGTGCCTATTAAAAATAACTGGGTCCTCACTTAGGTCATTTATTCTATCAAATTTACAAAATTCTGTCTTAAAGTTAGCATTGCATCATGATACAAAGTAAACAAATCACTCCTCTCTTTCTTCGTCTTCACTGTCTGCACTGATTAAGCAAAATATGTTGAATTTGCCCTCAGAATTTTGAATCACCTCAGAAATGGGATTTTTGTCAGTGTGGTGAACATAAGTGGGCTGAAACCACATGAGGCAGGTTTTTCTTGAACTTATTTTGGAACTAAAGATTGTTATCTGTGTCATCCATGCTGTGGACTTATTATTATTCACGCTACTCCAGGCGATCTTGGTTGTCTATACATCAGCTCCCTCTCTTGTACTTGTACTTTTAATGACGCTGTATCATTCTAAGGATAGTTCTTCCTCCAGTGCTATTCTAGGATTCCAGTGTCGATTCCAACGTCTTTCTAGGACTGTTTGTTTTGTTTTCTGAATGAACCATATTAGGATTGTTTTCAGATTATTTTAGTGGCAGAAAGTAACCTAGAAAATTTTGGGGACCTTGCCACCAATGGGTGGGATGAGGTAGGAATGGTACCTGTTTTATGTCGGTTGGGTTGGGCCTATAAAGAGGGTAGAGAGGCTGTTTGGGGAGTTGGCATAGAAAGTTTTACTAGAGTCTTCTAACAGCCTAAGAAGCATTGGCATGGGGTTTTAACACCACCTCTCCTGCCCTCCAGGGAATATCTTCCTAATCTAGCATGACTAGTTGCCACAGTAAATACAGAGGGTTAGGGGAGTAGCTGTTGTTATATGAATTAGTATCTTTAAAATGGAGTTATATCCTTTTAATCCTTTATCACTAGTAAAGATTTTAAAACTGTATTTTATGGTCCGTAAGTACCCTATTTCATTCTAACCATGAGCCTGAATCACTAGACTGGTTTGAATGAGGCCTAGCCCAGAATACCCTACCCACTCCTCTTCTGACCTGCCCTCTTTCTGTTGAGGGCACCATCCTCCTTCTAACTGGTCAAGTTCACAACCTCAGCATAATCTTTGACTCCATGCTCTTCCTCTCCACACATGTGCAGTCGCCAAATCTTGTAATTTTTCTCCCTATGGCTTCTCTCATATATATCCCCTTCTTTCCACTTCCTTGGCCACTACCCTGGTCCAGGCCCTTGGCATTTATTAACTGGACACCTGCAAGAGCCGACTCATCGTTGTCCCTGACACAAGTCTCTCACCACTCCAGTCCATCCCCTGCACACCTGCCATAATGATTTTCCTAAAGCACCTAGTATATGCTCGGCATGGTGCTAAGCTCTGGGGATACAAAGAAAGGCGAAAAAATAGTCCCTGCCCTCAAGGAACTTCCAGTCTAATGGGGGGAGATAATATACAATCAACCATGAACAAACACGATATATACACATATATGAAACATATTATATATAATATGTATATAGACACATACACATAAAGTATATATATGTATGTATAAACTGTATATGAGGCAAATATATGCTTCATACAGGATAAATACATACATGCTATATATGGCATATATACTATACTGACAAATATGTGCTATACATGACATACAAATATGTAAGCTATATATAACAAATATGTATGCACTGAAAAAAATCAAAGTTAATATTACCCCTCATTTCTCCTATATTGCTTCTATGTTGTAACTGATTTTATGCTGTGTTAATTTCATAATTGGGTCTGCATCCACCTGGTTACATCACTCAGTTGAGCCCAGGAATCCACATTCCCTCTGAGTTAGTTTAAAGTTATAATTAACAGGAAAAATGGTTAATACCTTCAGCTTCTGGGAAAATACCAAGACATCTGGTGTTATCTTTAAGTCTTGAAGCTAGTGCTAAGAAATAAACTGCCCCTGAACTGTCCTTGCAGCATTAAAGAAAGCCTTATCTCTCTAAGAAACCTTTCTAGGAACCAGGGAGTGCTTAACTCAGATCTGTTAACAGGGTCTGCAATATGCAGATAGGTCTCATAAATCAACCAAGCATTCCTCCATGACAGAAAGGGGTGGTTACTAGCCCCATTTCCTTGATGTAACCAATCTTATTGTCCCCACTTTCATGGTGCTCTCTACCCCATAACCAATTGCATTGTCTTCACCATCTACCCAATTCTTTACTCCCCAAAACTATGTGAAGGCTAGTGATCCCTATCTTGGGGTCTTTGGTCATTAAGAGAGGCCATTGACCTAATTTATTGGTTTCTGCTAGCCTAATTAATAAATTGATCATGATCAGACCATCGTCCCTCAGTTTACCTCAATTTTCAAATGTAGCACACTATATATGACACATAAACACACACACACATATATGTACACTATATATAACATACACATATATGTCTATATCATAGCTATAGGTATATATGACAAATTGGAGATAAAAACCAAATATCTAGCCATGTTATTTACTCCCCTTCTCAATAAACTCCAGTGGCTCCCTATTGCCTCTAGGATTTAATAGATCTCATAACCTGGCTGTGACCTACCTTTCCAATCTTATTATACATTATCTTGCTTATTCTAGAATTCTGTCAAACTGCCTTCCTTGCTTTTCCTCCTCTTTCATCTGTGTCTTTGCCCTGACCTAGAATGAATGTACTTTTCTCCCTCAATTTTGCCTCTTAAAAATTCCTTGTTTCTTTAAAAATTCAACTCAAGAGTGACCCTAGCTATAGCGCCCTCCCCATCTGAATTACCTTGTATGTATATAGTTCTAGCTGTATGTACTGTATCTGGTAATAGAATATATACTTCTTGAGGGAAAGGATTTCCATTTTTGTTTTTATATTCCCAGTTTCTCTCTCTCTCTCTCTCTCTCTCTCTCTCTCTCTCTCTCTCTCTCTCTCTCTCTCTCTCTCTCTCTCCTTTCTCTGTCCTCTCTCTCCCTCCCTCTCTCTTCTCTCTCTGTCTCCTCTTTCTCTGTCTCTCTTCTCTCCCTCTCTTCTCTCTTCTCCCCCTCCTCTCTTTCTTCTCTCTCTCCTCTCTTCTCTTTGTCTTCTCTCCCTCTCTCTTCTCTCTCTCCCTCTCTCTTCTCTTTCTCCTCTCTTCTCTTTGTCCTCTCTCCCTCTCTTCTCTCTCTCCCTCTCTCTTCTCTCCCTCTCTCCCTCTTCTCTCTCTCTCTCTGTCTCCTCTCTCTTCTCTCCCTCTCTTCTCTCTCTCTTTCTCTCCCTCTCTTCTCTCTCTCCCTCTCTCCTCTCTCTCTTTCTTTCCCTCTCTTCTCTCCTTCTCTCTCTTCTCTCCCTCTGTCTGTCTCCTCTCTCTCTCTCTCTCTCTCTCTCTCTCTCTCTCTCTCTCTCTCTCTCTCTCTCTCTCTCATAGAGTCACAGACTTAGAGCAGGAAGACACCTGAAATATCCCTCATTTTATGGATCAGGCCACACAGAGGGAAAACAGCAGTCAAACTTTCTCTTTCCATAACCCTTATCTCCTTGGCCTTTCTTGCCTAAAAGGAACTTTAGACACCCTGAAATTGTCCTGCTTCCTCCCTCTTTCCCACTCTCCCATCGTTACTCAGGCCATCGGCCTGAGATCCCCAGACTAGGGAGGGCCTGCAGTTAAGACTTCAGGTCCTGGGCTTCTCCTTCCCCCCTTGCCCCCAAACAAAGCTTCCCTCCTTGCCTCACACAGAACACTTTCTCCCAAAGAGGGCCCAGCCTGCACTGTCTCTACAATACAGGTAGAGCCTAACTACAGTACCGGCAGGCCCAATCCCCTGATTTTTGCTTACAGCTTGCATTTTCCGGTCTCTTGCGTCCAACCTAGGCCCTCTTTCCAGTTCAACCCCCTCTCAACCTCCCCACTGAGTCTTTTGTTGCCAGTCTCAGAAAGAATGAGCAAACAGTGTGAGCAAAGGTCTCAACCTTGTTCCCTGAGGGCTGAAACCCAGGCTTCTTGCTCAGTCTCCCCTCCCCCTCCCCTTTCTTCCCTGCAGCCTCAGATCTAGGCAGACTCTCCCACTTGCTGTCCTGCCCACGCACAGAATTCCTGCTGACCCCATCCCTGGACGACATTATCCGTATCTTTCAAGGCCCGATGTAGACATAATTTGCTCCAGCAAGCCTTTGGCATGGGATAGAGCTGGATTTGGAGTCAGGTTCAAATCCTTCCAGACACTTAATGGCTGTGTGTGCTAGTTACTTCCCTTCTCTGGGCCTCAGTTTCCTCATCTGTAAAACGAGGGGGCTGGACTCAGTGACCTCTAAGGTCCTTCCTAGCTGTAAATCTATGATCTTATGGTCTTTTCCTGAGCCTCTCCACTGGGTCCTCTGCACTCCCACATTCCTGTGTCCTGGGGGAGGGGGCATCCCCTTTTCTCTCAGATTATCCCTCTCCCATCTGTGTGCTAGACTGTGAACCCTATCAGGATCTGGGTTTTACCTATCCTTCCTCTTGCTCAACCTCACTCAGCCCAGGACTCTATTAACAGCAAAGGGTAGTTAAGGTTTTGAATTGAAGTGAATTTGCCTTAAATGGAAGATCTTTAAATCTCATAAACTGTTGAATACATAAATGGGGAGGATGGGAAGGGAAAATAGTTTCTTGTCTTAGGCGGTACAGTAGTTAGAGTGCTAGACTTGGAATAAGGAAAACCTGAGTTCAAATCCTGTCTCACATACTAGTTATGGGACTCTGGGTAATTCACTTTTACCTCTCAAGGCCTCAGTTTCCTATTCTGTAAAATGAGGAAGTTGAATCCATTGGCCTCTACCTTAGAGGACCTTCCCTTTCAGCTCTAAATCTGTGAGCCTCAGGTATAGCCCAAGGTTCTTATGCCGGTCTTGCTACTATCTCTATGTACCCTTGGGCAAACCTCCTCCCTCCTCTGAGACCCTCTGTTTCTTCCTTTACAACACAAAAGGACCAGAATGAGTAATATCCAAGATCCTTTTCAGTTCTGATCATTTTAAATGCCTCGTGGTAGAAAGAAATCAACCAGTATCCCAGGCATGGTACAGGGAGCCACGGACCCACCTGACTTGGGGGACATCACTCAACCCTCAGAACCACTGCGGACAATGCCATGGGACGTCCCTAGGTGTTGATTCCACAATCACTTTTTGAGGATTACTTGGGTCCAAAGACATAGCCAACACCACCACTCCCCTCAAGGACCTTGCATTCTATTGGAGGAAAACAAGATGTGCAGAGATAACTATTTACAGAATCTCTATAGAGTCATATGCATACCCACCACCACAACCCCTTGTCTGGCGGAGTAGAGCCACACCCTCCAGCAATAGGTCCCCAGAATCCAACAACATTCTCCCCACCCCTACCCCCAACAGTGGGGGGATGGAAAATCAATTGGAGAATGGCTGAACAAACTGTGGTATATTAATATAATGGAATACTACTATACTATAAGAAGTGACAAAGGGACAGTTTCAGAGAAACCTGGAAAGACCTGTATGAACTAATGCAGAGCAGAGTAGAACCAGGAGCACGATTAATACAATATCAGCAGCGCCAAAAAGACAAACAACTTGGAAAGACTTGAGAACTCTGATCCATGCAATGAGCAGAGGACCAATTATGAAGCATACTGCCTACCTTGGGACAGAGAGATGGGGGGCTTGGGGATTCTACATTTTTGGACATGGCCGATGTCAGAATTTGTTTTGCTTGACTATGCTTGTTTGTGATAAGAGTTTTTCTTTTCTTTTATTATTTTTTTTTAGTGGTGGGGGAAAGGTAGGAGGGAGAAAAAAGTTTTGTTAATTTATTTTAAAAAAAGCCAGGGGTGAATGTAGGGGAAGGGGAAGGTCAAGATCTCTATGGCTTTCTGGACTTAGGGGTCTGGTTCTCCAGATTGGCTCCTTCCCAGGGCCCCTTCTCCAGGAGGAAAGAAGACCAGGGGAGCCAAAGAGAGGGCAGAAAAGACAGACTGGCTATTTATTCTTTCTCTTCCCCCACACTGCCAATTCCTAAAGTGAAGAAAAAAAGAGAGAGGAGAACCACACCCCACCACGGGAGGTTGCCGGGAGATCTTCAACAACCAGGAGAAGACGGGTCAGTGAGAGATGAGGAAGAAGGGCTGGGAAGAGTAATAGGATCCTAGAAAAACCTGAGGGTTGGAGAGACCACTCTGCAGGAGGCAGATTCGAGCCACCTGAAGTCGGATGCCTACAAGACTGAATGAATCTGAAGACCTCCCAACCATCCCCCAATCTAGCCCCAAATAAGAATTTTGGCCAAATCATTGCTTGAAGACTTCCAGGGGAAACCACAGCCTTTGAGGCAGTCCCTTCCACTGTGGGACAGCCCTGGCTGGTAGGAAATTTCTTCCTGACCTCAAGCTTCAATTTGCCCCATTCCAATTTTTCATCCAACATTTTCTTTCTGTGAAAGGCACCTCCATCCTTCCAGATGTGCAGGTCTCCACCGTCTCTCACCCATCACATCCAAACAGTTGCTAAGTCTGGTTGACTCCCTCCTATACCTTGTATATATGTCACATCCATCCTCTTCTTTTTGTACACAATCACTGCCTTCATTCCCTTTCTCCTGGACTACAGCTTCCCAGTTAGCCTCCACGCCCTGATCCATCCAGCTGTTGAACTTAGAGTAGGAACAACAAAGCCCTATTTTTCCCCCAGAGCAATGAGACCCTATCCTTTCCCCAATATTCTTTTTTTTTTTAAAGCAATTGGGGTTAAGTGACTTGCCCAGGGTCACACAGCTAGTGAGTGTCAAGTATTTGGTCTGAGGCCAGATTTGAACTCAGGGCCTCCTGACTTCAGGGCCGTGTTCTATCCACTGCACCACCTAGCTGCCCCATTTTCCCTATATTCTTAGCCCTTTCCCCCATATGCTGAATAGGCAACCTCACCATTCTGTGGCCCACCCTATCACCAGTGACTTTGTGGTCAAGGGACTTTCCCAAGACCTTGTAAGCTCAATGAGACTCCTCACTGCCCCACAGTAATTTATGTGATGTCAAAGCCCCCATTGACATCTCATGAATGTGATAATGAAGGGACTCTGGAGAGTGAAAGCATAGCTATTTCAGGATAGCACTGGTAAGAACCAGTAAAGTTCAGGCAGCACAAGTCTTTTTTTGCCAGCATAGCACAAAGATTACGCCATAGCAAATTCCCACAAGTCACTCCCCCTTCAGCTCTGACACAAGCATGTTTCCATTCCCCTTCCACCCAACCAGTATCCCAAGTTGCTTGGTTCCATTTGCTTTTATGACAATGAAGCCCTGCTTGGAAGGACTCTGGCCTTGGTATTCCTACCTACTCCCAACCAGCTCTCCCTCTGAAAACTAATATTCCTTTTTTTTTTAATCTCCCTTTTGTTTTTATTACATTAATACATATTTATGTAATAAAACAAGCATTTTCGTAACACCGTACAATAAAAAAGATGATTGTATACAAAACTACAAATCTACTATGCACAATTTGCATATTACCATTCCTTTCAAACATACAACAAAATTATCATGTAAATTTCCTTTTTTTCCTCCTTTTTCTACCTTCCCCCTACCCCATCCCTAGAGATGACTACCATTAGACACAAATAGGGGTGTGTATATGTATTTTTATATATATATATATATGTGTGTGTGTGTGTATATATATCTATATACATATATATGTATATGTATATATGTGTATGTGTATATATATAAATACATAACATACACACACATACACAAGTACACACATATGTAAAATTATTCTATACATACTTCTGTTTGTCAGTTCTTTCTCTGGATGCAGATAGCATCTTTGTTCATATGTCCTTTATATTTACCTTTATAGTTTGTACCTTTATATATAGTACCCTTATAGCTAATTTGTGTATTTGTAATAGTCAAAATAATTTATTCATTCAAAGTCATTCTTAAAACACTTTTGCTGTGACTGTATCCAATGTTGTCTTGATTCTGTGAATTTATATTCCCAAATTACAGATGAAACAAACTATGTCACCCATCTGTTTAGTAAACTCCAGGTGACTCTCACTTGCCCCCAGGATAAAATACAAATCCCTTTCTTTGACTTTTAAATCCCATCACAATCTGGCTCTAAGTCCAGCTCTCAAGTCTTATTTTAATTAATTTTTTTTCCAAGTAACAAGTATTTTAAACAATTAATCTGTCCCTTCCATTGAGTAAATTTAAAAAAAAAAGTCCTCCGGATGCATTGTAACAAAACAAATTCCGAGGTTGGCCTTGTCTGAAAACATGTGTTTCTTTCTACCTTTTAAGTTCACCCCCTCCCTGGCCAGGTGTGAGTGGCCATGTTTCATTTTCATTCTTTTGGACCTCTGGTTGATCATTGCATTGATCAGAATTCTCAAGTCTTTGAAAGTTGTTTTTCTCTAATGTTACCATTGTGGAAGTTGTTGTTAAGTATTAACCAGCTAGTTTGGGGGGTGGGGGTGGGGACATACAGCAGACACAGTTTTAAGCCTAATCTGCATTCACATTTTCTCCATTACTTTCTTAAATCTAGATAATCAATAACATGCTAACCTGAGCCCTGATGGGTTTCTGAGGTATGAATACTTACACTGAAAACATCCCATATACTTACACAGATATATGTTGTCTCCAATAGAATGGTAGCTCCCTAAGACAAGGGTTATTTCACTCTTGTTTTTGTATCTCCAGAGCTCAATACAGTGCTTGGGCTTATGTAGGTGCTTAATAAATGCTCTTAGAATTGAAGTAAAATTACAGTTATCCCTTCCACATTGAGGGGGTTAGGGGTGCAGAGCCCCCACGATCTGGAAAATATTTGTATAATTTTTTGGCCTTCCCTTTGTACCAGAGAAGAAATCTGAATTATTATAGTGCTAAAAGATAAAATATGTTGATATTATATACTATACATATATTTTATGCATTTCTGAGTTTCTAAACTTTTTCTATGTTGTCAGCTGGCCTCTGTGTGTTGTCTACAGCTTCTGTAAAACTCCCCCAAAATTCCCATTTGATTTCTCATGCCGACCTGCAATATATTGAAACCAAGATGGGGAAAGTTGCAATCTGGAAGGGATTACTTCTGGCTCCGGGGTGGGGGTGGGGCGTCAGTCTGAACCAGTATAATCCCTTGTCTACTTGACAGTT